AGGCAATTCTCTGGCCTCAGCCTCCCGAGTAGCTGGGACTATAGGCACCAGCCACAAAGCCTGGCTATTTTTTTGTTGCAGTTTGGTCGGGGCCAGGTTTGAACCTGCCACCCTCAGTATATGGGGCTGGTGCTCTACTCACTGAGTCACAGGTGCCACCCTGAAACCAAGTCTTTTTTTTTTTTTTTTTTTGAGACAGAGCCTCAAGCTGTCCCCCTGGGTAGAGTGCCATGGCATTACAGCTCACAGCAACCTCCAACTCCTGGGCTCAAGCGAGTCTCCTGCCTCCGCCTCCCAAGTAGCTGGGACCACAGGCACCCGCCACAACGCCCGGCTATTTTTTTTTTTTGGTTGCAGCCATCATTGTTGTTCGGCAAGTCCGGGCTGGGGATTCGAACCTGCCACCTTAGGTGTACGTGGCTGGCGCCTTAGCCGGTTGAGCTATAGGCACTGAGCCTCCAACTCCTATCTTAATGTGGCCTTCTTCTCTATGCCTGTCTCAACTACCCCTTTCTTCTCTCTTATAAAGACACCAGTCACTGGATTAGGGCCCACCCTAAATCCAGGATGATCTTGAGATCCTTATCTTAATTATATCTATAAAGATCTTATTGCTAAATAAGGTCATGTTCAAAGGTACAGGGGGTAGGACTTGGACATATTTTGGGGGAACAATTCAACTCATTATAGTAAAGTATTTTGGGGCCCCACAGATCACACCCTTAGGCTACTCCCCATTATCCCTCCTAGGTGCAGTGTCCTGTGCTATCTTTGATACTTACCAGTTTCCCTGGAAAGACTTTATAGGGCTTCATAAAAAAGAAAATATTTACAGTGTAGACTTATGTTCATTCATCATTTAGCAATGAAAATCATGAAATATAAGAAAATCATAAAACACAAGAAAAAAACTAGACCAATTACTAATCTTCTGAAGGTTGACTTTATCCAAGGCAGGGTGTGTTGCCAAGCAGGATCTTCTGCTTGGAGCCGGTAGAGAGGGCCTCACAGGGCACTTCTGTTGCACTGTGGTTTGTGGTTTACAGTTCTTTCACACCACGATGAGTCTTTATTATCTTTAAATTCTAGAGTCCAGCAGAGCGCTTCCCTTAGTGTTTGGTTTGTTCTTAGTTACTTCAGGTCATTTGAAAGAGAAGTTGGTTATGATCATAAAATTAAGACAGACACATTCTCATCTTCTCTTCCCTGGAAGCTGAACAAGGCACAGGCCTTGTCTTGCCCTGACTCAGGCCCCAGAGGTACAAGTCAGTGACAGCTTGCTTTGCAGATGATCTTTCTTGGCTCCTTCAATTCCAAATACCTATAATTTAATTTTAAGCACCCATAATCATGTGGGTGCTTAAGCCCACCCCCTCACAACTTCCCAGCTGGATTCCAATCAAGTCAGCCAGTGGGTGGGAGGAAGCTCTCCTCCTCTTCCTTTGGCTTTGAATGGACATGTAACTTTCTGCTCAGCAGCATTTTATTGACAGAGAAACTGAAGCTTACAGAGGAGACATAATCTGCCGTACAATTAATTAAAAGACAGCCACAGAGCCAAAAGCCCTCAACTTGCAATCCTGTGGCCTTCCCTTATTCCCTTGAGATGTCCGGTTTACGATCTATAGCTCAATAGCTGTGGTTCTCAGACTTCTGGGTCTTGGAACTATAGTAGAACCACTGTAAGATGACCACTCATGGGTCTGTAACAAACTGGTCAACATAAGGACTAGGTCTACTGTCTGATATTTACTAGTGGTACATGTCCTATCTATGAAAAGTAGGTCAACTTGAAAGGTGGTCAACTATGGATGTTCTATCCACTGTACCTGGTGAGGGAAAGAAATCTTTGGACAACCCACACTTACTGCATGGTTGACCCTAAGTTACTGAAGCACTGACAAAGTGCGTAGCAGCACTGTGCGGGCCCTGTGCTAGGAGGGAGTGTGGAGGGTGTGTGCACACTGGGGGACTCCCAGGCTGAGAGCAAGCTGCCGTCTGGTGGGCAAGGTGCTACGTGCTGACCCAAGTTGTCAGCCCTGCGCAGTGTAGAGTCTACCCATTTTCCAGGTGAGGGAGCTGTGACTTCAAAAAGATGAGTGGCCTTGGCATCTGTAGCTCAAGCAGCTAGGGCACCAACCACATACACCGGAGCTGGCAGGTTCAAATCCAGCCTGGGCCTGCCAAACAATGACATCTGCAACCAAAAAATAGATGGGTGTTGTGGCAGGCACCTATAGTCCCAGCTACTTGGGAGGCTGAGGCAAGAGAATCCCTTAAGCCAGTGATTCTCAACCTTTGTTGTGACCCACAGGACCATATTAAAGGGCTGCAGTATTAGGAAGGTTGAGAACTGCTAGCTTAAGTCTAAGAGTTGGAGGTTGCTGTGAGCTGTGACGCTATGTAACTCTACCCAGAGAGACAGCTTGAGACTATCTCAAACAAAACAAAACAAAAAAACCCTCAAAAGATGAGTGACCTAGCACCTGAGAGACTGAAGCGGGACAAGTCAGCCTGTCCTCAAAGCCAGATGTGAGGTAAGCAGTGCCACACAGGTGCTGTGGGCTCCTCACAGAGAAGGTAAAGACTCCTGAGCTGCCACTGAGACCTAGTTCATTTGCTTCCCAACGTGACACCCGAGAGCTGCCCCCTGGGAGGTACACGGACTACTTATGGGAGCTGCCCGAGCACAGCCCTGAGGCGACTGACAACTTCTCTCAGAACTTGCTCTCTTACTTTCTGAGAAACCAGTCCAACTCCTTTCCAAGGAGGGAAGGCATATCCCAAACCTGGATGAGCCCCAGGGTCACCTGAGGTGCTTAAGAACATACAGCTCCAAAAGGCATTTTATTTTATTTTATTTTATTTTTTTGAGACGGAGCCTCAAGCTATCCCCCTGGGTAGAGTGCCATGGCATCACGCTCACAGCAACCTCCAACTCCTGGGCTCAAGCGAGTCTCCTG